CTGTCTCGAAGGAATGCATCACAGAAACCTGAAATTATTTACTTCAAAACCAACTTGAAAAATCACTTTTCTGCTAGATTATCATTAGGACTTGGAATAGTTCACCCAAAAATGAAAATTTCCTGATTTTTTTTCTCACTTTCACTCCAAGATGTATAGATCGTCTCGGTTACCTGGATGCAATAATCGCATGCCAATGTGCATTGGCTCGTTTAGTTTACACTCGAAGTGGATTGGTCCCTCTAAGCGAGATCCCAATTTCGTCGGTCAACCGACGTGACGTCGGGAGTGACCGACTGAAAGGGAACTTTCTTTCTTCAGCCGAAGAGAAATGAAGGTACTGGAGGAAAACATTCCAGGATTTTTCTCCATCTAGTCCAAGTGAACGGTGCTCACCGTAGGCCATTTTCGACCGTCCAAAATCCATGACCATCCATATTTAAGCAGCTTCAAAGTAATCCACACAACCCCAGCCAACAAATAAGGGTCTTCTTTACCACCACAATAAGTCCTTTTCAGAAAAAAAAGAAAAATGATATCCTTTTTAACTACAAATGCCCGCCTTGGTCCAGCTCAGTTTGATGCACAATGTCTAGTGTGAAATATGCATATTAGAAAGGTCATGCGTGACGTAGGCAGAAAGAACCGCCTCATTTTTGACAAGTGTGAAGAATTAGCACTGTCCAAATTTTAAATGGTCGTTTTTGTGTCAAATCTTTGTGTCAATTTATTGTTAAACCTTCATTTCTCTATGGATGAAGAAAGAAAGACCTATACATCTTGGACAGCCTGGGAGTGAGTAAATAATCTTAACATTTTCATCTTTGGCTGAACCATTCCTTTAAATGTTGGCGGTAGCCATTGACTTCCATAGTATGGAAAGACATATTATGAAAGTCAATGGCTACCGTCAACAGTTTGGTTACGACATGATGAAATGATGACAGAATTTTCGTTTTTGTGTGAACTGTCCCTTTAATTAATTACATGATATGCTAATTAATGAATCAATTTAATCACAGTTAATCAAATATATCAATATTTACTTCATGCTTTGCTTCATAATTAATCAAACTGTTAAATGGTGATAAAATGACTGAAATTCAGAAAGGACTTCTGTACTCGTTGCCATAGGGGTGGCATTAAAAACCACCAGCCACATCTCAATATGGAGCAAGCTGTTTGAATTATACATTATTACTAACATACAGAGCAAAGCCTTCATCTGTCAGACTAGGACCAGGACGACCTCGTTCCTCACACCATTCTTGAAATGGTGGTAAAGCCTGAGAGACCAGCAGCCCGCATGTTTAATCCTGATTTATTTGTACAGTAAACACCTGACGTCCTGAATTGGTACTAATATTTATATAAATGCAAATTGAGGAATATTAGCCAGAGTACTCGAGCTTTCCTACAGGCCTATAAGTCATATGCTGAGCGTGCAGTGTACATGGGGACTGCGGTGCGGACGAGGACCTCCAGACCTGCCAGGTGGTTATTGATGGTCAACACGCTCGGCGAGGAGTGGAATACTTTTAAAATCTCATCATTTACTCCCAGACACATTCATTCTCGAAGGTTTCATCAAGAAAATTAATCCCAAGGCCTTCCGGATCATAAATTCACCTCCCTCCCACATAAATAATATTTTCCTTTTAAAAAGTCATGTCTGATATTGTCAGTTTTATATGTCATAGATGGTTTTATTTTTAAACTCATAAACTACTCTCTTCCACGAGGAAGGTGTCTGAGGCATTTTCTAGATTTGAATGGTTTTCTGTGTTATGGTCTCACTTGGATTGCAAGGGAGTTCATATACACAACACAAAAACAAAAGTTGAAGCGTGTGGAGTGTTGTGCTGCTGCTGGAACACAGGTGCATTGTGGGGATGTTGGTTTAAGTCGAATATATAAGACTCTCTCGACACACGCAGCAGATTCCCTTAATCTCATGGATTGGCTGATATTGATGATTTAGCAGATCTGCCCACATTCCTACAGCCACAGGGCTTCCTGCTGGACTGAAAATATGGAAGTGCTAGAAGCTCATATATGTGCAAAACAACAGGGTTTTTGACACGAATAAATCCAGCACATCTTCTTTGCACATGCTCCATTCACACAGACCTTTTAATGCAGCGCAGAGGCGACATACAGTAAATGTATTAACATTTTACACTGCTAGACAATGTATCAGACACTGAAATTTGTATTTGTTGTGAACATTTATGTCGATGATTTAAATTTTTAAAGCAGTTTTCTTATTTAGATATTAAAACAACATTAAATAGACATTTTTTGAAGTTTGTACTTATATAGTGTATTAAAAAACTTTTGGCATATTTTTTGTGATAGATGATGAAAACATTTCACTTTACACTGGAGGGCAATGTATCAGACACAATGGCATTGAAAATAATGTTTTAAACAGTATTGTCAAAATTTGTATTTGATATGTACATTTACATGGAGGATTTACATTGTTGGGGTGTTTTCTGATATATAGATATCAACATAACGTTATATATACATTTTCTTTTCATTCAAAATGGGAATCTCTGTTAAGAGAAATAATGTTGATGTGACTGAATTAGAGAGAGAGGAAGTTTTGCTTATATAGTGCATATTTTTATGTGTTGGATGATGAGAAAAAATAATTTACGCTGCAAGACATATCAGATACTATGCCACTGAGAATAGTGTTTTTCAGAAATAGTATTGTTAAAATTTGTATTTGATGTGTAAATTTATGCTGAAGATTTACATTTTTTGATCATTCTCTTTTTTTTCTTATATAAAACAATGTTGTAACATTCAGGATATTAAAACAACATTCAGTAGATATTTTTCTTTTGTTTCTCCCTTATAAAGTTTATCAGATCACATAATGCTTTCCAAATGATGCGCTCATTCATAGACATGTAAGCAATGCATGTTCACTGGGTTATTTTTAAACAGAAATCAGTTTGAAATGTTGAGGTTCATTGGTTCTAATGGTAATATGTTTTGTGACAAATATTTAACTGCCATCTTTTTCATGGGAATGTGAGTTGAGTTGAATAGTTTGTATGGATACTGTTGTAATCTACTAGTTTAGTAACATATATACGTTTGACTGTGTTCTCGACTAATCGTTATTGTACTTGTAGTAATAGTTTATTCATCGCCAGGAAAAGCAAAGCAGGCAGGATTCCCATTCTTTGTTATTGTTCCGTAGCACGAGGGAAATCCTGAATTCAGCATATTGTTCAGGCAGGAGCGCGAGTGTGTGTCGCAAAGGTCATATTCCTGTCATTAACAGCAAAACGAGGTCGCGGAGGGCACGTGGTAAATGACCTCTCTCGGTCCGAGCGCCGCACGTGTCAAAAAAGGACAGCGTATCTTTAAGCCCGTCTCATTCTTAATGAAAACGGCGAGTTGCAACGGCCTCTGATCTTGTGTTTTAGTCAAATAGAACTCTACGCTTGACTGACAGCTCTGATCTAAAGCATTTAAGTGCGAGTTTTGATCTCTCTGCCTTTGATTAAAACTAATGAGCTCATTTAATTCAAAATGGGAATCTCTGATAAGAGAAATAAGGTTGATGTGACTGGATTAGAGAGGCGAATTAAACTCTTAGAGCTGAAGTTTGTGCTTATATAGTGTATTAAAAAGCTGTTGGCATATTCTTGTGTGTTAGATGATGAGAACAATTTCATAGTAATTCATATTTAATCAGAAGAAATGAAATGACTAAATATAACATGGCTCTGCCTTTTCCCCAGAGTGATAAAGGACTAGTTAGATTTTAAATGACATTTAATTCATGTTCTCAGAAAGAAAGAGGGAGGAGAAAAAAGGGAAAGAGAGAAAGAGAGAGAGAGAAACGGGGAAATACAGCAGTCCAAACCCACAACCATATGACGGTTTCTATTCAACTATACTTTTATGTCCCAGGGGTTGATTTTTTTTTCTTGTTGTTATATAATGTTCATTTAATTTTCCTACATTTTTTTGTGCCTTTTTTATTTTTATCACTTTTTAAATGTATTATATATAGATTTTACTCATGTCCAAGACCCAGACTTTCAGTCTTAAACTTTGAAAATGTAATTGTATTAGTAAAATGCCACTACTATGATTGTAGTCAAATAAATATACGCATGTCAGTATTTATTGTGTTAAAAATGTTAATTATGCTTTTTATCACAAATTATGACTATAATAATAGCATAATTTCCATCACAACCAACAATTTGATCCCTAATAAAGATATGTTACATTTGCACAGTCAGCGTTTAGATCGACAAACGTTTTGTTAGCAGTTTTGGCTCTCATACTGTCCTGTTCTTACACTAAACCTCCTCTGGTGGCTGTTTGTAACATGTTGAATGTCAAGACAAGTTAAAATGTGCAGTTAATTTGGCTCTAATCAAGCGTGTTACAGCAAATTAGCAGAACCTTCTTTGTTCGTCAGGTGTCCTTGTGTTAAGATCAAGGCTTGAAATCTTTATTTTTTCCATTCCCATCTGGTAAGAGATGTATTATAGTATAAGAAATACATAATTTTTTTCACTGTCATTGAAAATTTTATATTGTAATTATATTTAATTTTTTTCTGAAGCAAAAGTGAGTGGTGTTTTTACTAAACCAAGTTTGTTAAATTACGCTCTGCTTAATTTTCCCATTTCCTATGGAGGCAAATACATCTAACACCAGCCTGGTGAGGTTTATTCATTTTCCATGTCGAGTTTAAAGCAATTATCATGTTTGCAGAGGCTCCGCTTCATGCTATTAGTAAATACAATTAAAACATTGTCAAAGTTTGATTAGCGCCTTCCCCCTTATCAGGTTGTGCTGTTCCATTAACTGTCTACCAAGAGATGATAGAAACTCAATGAGAAGATATTACACACCATACTCACTAAAGCAGTCTGATATCTTGCCGTCTCTGTGAGTTGTGTATTGTTTTTTTGTTGTAATAGGATGTTTGTTTGTTTGTTTGTTTGTTTCTGCAGTGGAGTCGAACAGCCCTAGTCTTCTGTCGCCGGATAACATTCTAGAACGTTCCTTCTTCATCCGTATGAAGTCCACGCTCACCAAGAGAGGCGTCCACATCAAGTCCTCTGGATACAAGGTAAGCCTTGAACTGGATGATTGTTGGCATGTTCTAAAAGAAATTAAAACTCACTTCAGTCTTGTATCATAGTTAATGACAGAATTCTATATGTGTCACAGCCAGGCCAAATAATTGGCCAATATTTGGTGTTTTAAAATAATCTGAATCAAGCAATAGATGTGCACACTTAACTGATTAACAGAAGTATGAGCTTCCTTTGTCCCATTGCAAAATCTACTTTTCAAGTTCTTTTTAATCATGCACATTGTTTTAAACAGTTGTATGTGAATTTTAGTAAATGTAAAAAAAATTTAACTTTAATTTTATGTAAACTGAAATTCGATTTTATTTTCAACAATGATACATTAAAGGGTTAGTTCACCCATTGTTGTTCCAAACCCGTAAGACCTTCATTCATTTTCGGAACACAAATGAAGATATTTTTGATGGAATCTGAGAGCTCTCTGACCCTCCCATAGACAGCAAGGATATTACCATGATCAAGGCACAGGAACGTTGCAAAGACATCGGTAAAATAGTCCATGTGACATCAGGGGTTCAACTGTAATTTTACGAAGCTACGAGAATACTTTTTGTGCGCAAAGAAAACAATAATAACATAATTTATTGAACAATTCTTATCCCCGAGTGACCATCTTCCGCCATTTTGGAGAGTACCCCAGAACGTAATCAACGTAATGAGCGTTGTTTACGTTCAGCATGCACGTGCTGTCTACTTATTGTTTTCTTTGCACACAAAAAGTATTCTCAAAATTACAGTTGAACTCCTGATGTCACATTAATTATTTTACCGATGTCCTTGCTACGTTTCTGTGCGTTGATCGTAATAGTATCATTGCTGTCTATGGGAGGGTCAGAGAGCTCTCGGACTCCATCAAAAATATCTTAATTTGTGGGTTCAACTGTAATTTTACGAAGCTACGAGAATACTTTTTGTGCGCAAAGAAAACAATAATAACATAATTTATTGAACAATTCTTATCCCCGAGTGACCATCTTCCGCCATTTTGGAGAGTACCCCAGAACGTAATCAACGTAATGAGCGTTGTTTACGTTCAGCATGCACGTGCTGTCTACTTATTGTTTTCTTTGCACACAAAAAGTATTCTCAAAATTACAGTTGAACTCCTGATGTCACATTAATTATTTTACCGATGTCCTTGCTACGTTTCTGTGCGTTGATCGTAATAGTATCATTGCTGTCTATGGGAGGGTCAGAGAGCTCTCGGACTCCATCAAAAATATCTTAATTTGTGTTCCGAAGATGAACGGAGGTCTTACGGGTTTGGAACGACATGAGGGTGAGTAATTAATGACAGAATTTTCAGTTTTGGGTGAACTAACCCTTTACATTGAACAAAAGTGATAATAAAGACATTTATAATTTTACAGAAAATTTTCTATTTCAAATAAATGCTTTTCTTTTGAACTTTCTATTCATCAAAAAATCCTGGAAAATAATGCATAACGGATTCCACAAAAATATGAAGCAGAACTGTTTTCAACATTGATAATGATAAGAAATTATTTCTGAGCAACAAGTCAGCATGTTAGAATTAGGGATGGACGATATGGGCTTTAAAATATATCACAGTATTTCTTGTATTTATTGCGATAACGATATCAATGACGATAATTCAGGGAATCATGTTTCTTTAGAGAAAAGTATTATCTTTCCAGTATTATCTTTCCTATTTTTACCCAAAATAGGGTGTTGTGTTAATGAGTACACACATAATGTAAAGACTGTTTAATTCATACTGGTAGCCGGAGGGCGCTCTTGCACAGAAACTCCACATATCCATAGCAGAAGTCGAGGGTCTGTCCATATAAACTTCCCTTGTCCACTTCACGAAGTGGAACACACTTCAAAATGGCAGCGGGGATTCCCCCGAGGGGAAGTACTTAAGGAACTTTGCGAGTGCGTGTCTAAAAGGAGTGGAACGCAGCCCAAGAAGGTATCCAGTTATCACTGAATAAAACGCACAACGGAGATGGAGACATTTTAACTGATGAAACTTGAGGAACATAAACATACGATTGCACAAAATATATGGTTTATCTGTGTTCTTCACTTCCTTGTTTTTATAAGGAAAGTATATTTATAATGCAATGTTAATCGACATTGCCTTTATCACTGTATATAATACTATCATTCTGTAATATGAAACCACGTCTGGTCACAAAAAGAAGTATTTCAAACACTCGACTATGTTATTAAGTTAATTTGGAGAAAAGCATGTCAATAAATGATATCTTTGTTGGACAACAGGTTTGTAAACAGGCTCATACACATGCAAAACTGTATCGCACACGTGTTACTGTAGTACATTTATTCAGACCGATTTTTTTGTGCACTGTACAGCCCTAACCAAACCAGTTACAGATTGTAAAAGGAGCTCGAGCTCCTCATTTAGCGATATAGGCTACTCCTCCTCAATTTCACGTCCGCACACAGAAATATGTCAACAACTAGACTTTATCGTTATTATCGCGGGAAGACTAATTCTTATCGTGAGGAGAATTTTTACCAGTATATCGCAAACGATAAGATATCGTCCATCCCTAGTTAGAATGATCATCAGAGAGATCATGTGACACTGAAGACTGGAGTAATGATGCTGAAAATTCAGCTTTGCATCACAAGAATAAATTACATTTTAAAACATATTCAAATGAAATTATTATTATTATTTTTATTTTTTATTATGTTATTTTAAATTGTAATAACATTTCACAAAATTACAGTTTTTACTGTATTAAATGCTGCTTTGGTGAGCATTAGTGACTTGATATTCCAAAAACATTACAAACCCCAAACTTTGAACAGTAATGTATTCTGGCACAATTTATATTTATGTACTATGCACTTTTTGCACTTTGTGCAATCATAGACAATACCACTGATACAGCAGATCACCGAATGCTGTACATTTAGTATCAATCAGTTTGTAAACAGAGAAGTGGATGATTGTTTGGATGGGTCTTTGAGTGAACGATCCAAACCCCCTGCTGCATCCATCTGGACGCAGATTTGATGCAAATAAGCGTGAAGTCGGGGAGCGCACTAACCCATAGCATAAATATTCACGCATGCACATTCGCATACATTACCGGCCAGACAAGGACACTTCTTATTGCATTTACTCCAAATTATGTCAATATTTCTGTTGTTACATAATACAAAAGTATGAATTTTGCATACGATGCGCCGGCATTAGGTGATAGGTGCGAGGCGGCGGGAAGCGAAGCACGGCACACATGATGGCTGTTTATATCTCCTCTTCAGTCTGGAGGTCAAATCAAAGTGAATTCTTCTCCAGCTTAAACCAGTCTTTTCTTTTTTTGCCAAGGCGTCTCGGGCCCCGGCTCAGTTAATGCACTCATGTAAAAGCTCTCTATCATTACTTGTGCCGTATCGCATTTCAAAAGCACTCCAGAGAATCCCTAGGAACAGATGAATCTTATTTCTTATGTATACCTATTCTATATTCACCGACGCGGTGACGGGCGGAGAGAGAGAGAGAGAGCATTGTGTGCTGAACCATGAATTATAAAAATTTATCCCTTTGTTATTTTGGCTTGTATTAAATTGAGATATGCTATGCGGCTGCCTCTCGCTGCGGCCGCGGTGAACCCTTGCCATGTCAGTTTGCATTTAGCAGCCTGAGCATATTTCATGTTTTGCCAGAGCTTATGATGTTCTTGCCAAGAGCACTCCTGCAGCAATTCACCGGCGAGTCTCTCTTTGTGGCAATTACTTCAAAAGTTGTATTTTCCAACTTTTTGATGCCCCTCGCTTTGGGCTTCAGTGGAATCATTTCCATTTTGTATGCTTTTAATGCAGCTCAGTGTTTATTTATTGAAAGACCCAGTGTTGTAGGTATGTAGAGATGAATGTGTGTTGTGGAGGCAGTGTGTGTTTTGTGCGGGCTGCCACTCTCTGGTGTGCCGCTCTGTTTGTGAGAATTTGTGTATGGGTTTGATATCGGTCATAATTGAACATCACCTTCTGATCGCGGCATGCTGTGATGTCTTACTTAAGCTTGGCAACAGCTGCATCAAGTGCGTTTGCGACTGCCGGTGTGTCTGTCTGATGCACACTCGTGTCAACGATAACACACACTGATCGAAGACCAGAAACACATTTTGCCACCTCTCAGTCTCATTTCTCCAAGAATACCTATTCAGAAAGGTGTTTAATGGCCTGATTTTAATTGAGAGATTACATGAAATGTTTGTGCTTTGAAAAATTCATTAAAGACTATTTAAGTAGCTTATGCAACAGCTAGGAGTAAAAAGTGACCCTGGACCACAAAGTGATGTTTTATAAACAAATTCCGGGAGGAGGACGCACAGATAATTAACACGGCCAGTTCATCATTAGTGATTACACAATTTATCCAATCAGCATAAGAGAAAACTCCTATAAATAACCAAGTACGTCCTACCTTTGTTATCTCTCGACTTTCAGCATCCCTCCGCCACCCTGACCCCGCACCTTCAGCCAGTTTCTACCCCAGCACGGGGAGAAGCACTGGGGGAGCGCTTTTGAGCCGGGCTGAACTCCGGGAGTCTTGCCGAGCTCGGAGCTCTCTCCCTGGACAGCACGCCAAATACGCATAACCTTTATTTAATTATATGTAAGTGTGAACTCGTGAAACCAGTCATAAGGGTCAATTTTGTGAAATTGAGATGTATACTTCATCTGAAAGCTGAATAAATTAGCTTTTCATTGATCCTTAGCAATGCATATTACTAATCAAAAATTAAGTTTTGATATATTTATGGTAGGAAATTTACAAAGTATCTTTATTTAATAACCTAATGATTTTTGGCATAAAAGAAAAATCATTTTGACCCATAAAATGTATTATTGGCTATTGCTACAAATATACTCGTGCGACTCAAGACTGGATTCGTGGTCCAGGGTCACAAATAGTAGTAAAAATGGTGATCTAAAATAGACACTTTCACGTATACATTTATATAAATTTTAACCTAAAATTTAAAAAAAAAGTAATATCATTTGTCAGCTACTCAACTACTAATTCTAAGGTAGTTTAGAGAAAGAAAATATCAAGCATGCTCATTCCAAAAAAAAGAAAAAATCCTTTTTGTTATTCTGGCTAAATGTTTTTGTTAAAACATAAAATTTAAGCCCAAAGTAAACTCTGCTTAAAAAGTGAGGATTTCCTGACTGAATGTGACATCATTGAACTTTCCAGTCGTCTTTAATTGGCCCCTGATTTGAGATGGCTTTTGAATTCTGTGAAAGTTCGCTCAAACTCTCAACTCTACACCAGGAGAGTCACTCTTTTTTAATGACTGTGGCAGTCCATCGTTCCTGGGGTTTGGATTTGCTTGTCCCTCAGCGGAAACGTACAAGCATCAAAGAGCCCCACCGGCCTGAGCACTCATTGACTTTGGGGCCCGAGACTATACTATATGTCTATATGAATGATGCTAATAGCATCTCACTGATCTCTGAGGTGAACCAATGAAAGGATAGTGTCAGAAGTTTAAAACACTACAAAAACAATCCCCCCCAGTTTTCCCTGGGTGATTAAAATGGATGGATCCAAAAAAGAACATCGTTGCCGATCTAGTCAATGCATCCTCTGGGCAAAACGGGCTACAAAAGACTTTAAAGCATTACAAACTTTAAAGCCAGCGAAAAAGTAATTAGTTCCTCTGCCTTTGTTATCTCTCGATTATTTCAGAGGGAAATGGTGCTTTTTGTGTTTTTAATATTTCATGAATGTACATAACGGGTACAAGAACCTGAGAATCTTGGTTTGGATCTTGGTCAAGTGTACACTAGTATGCAAAGAACATATTGGATTATCAAAGAGCTCAGTTGTCATCTTACATGACTTCATCTGGTTTATTTTCTGTTATATTTATACTGTGGTTGGATACTTTACTAAAGGATGTGAATGTAATTCAGAAGACAATTGCATCTGATCTGTTTTTAATTTTCCGCTTTGTGTCCTCTTCAAGGTTATCCACATTGCCGGCAGGCTGCGGATAAGAATGGCATTAACACACAGTCGTTCGGTACCCAATCAAATCATGGGCATGGTTGTGATGGCACACGCACTTCCTCCACCAACCATCAATGAGGTTCGGATCGACTGCCAGATGTTTGTTACACGGGTCAACATGGATCTCAACATCGTCTACTGTGAAAACAGGTAACACTCTTTATATTATATATTATTATATAAATATGGGCAATGTTAATCTCTAAGAGGGCAACAATTTCACACTGTATTTGCACAATCTTATTTTGCAAAGCTTATATGCACTATTTAGTATAAGCCTAGTATTGTGTGCAGTTTGATTTAAGAGATTTTTTATCTGCCCAAAAGAATGATAAACGGTGAAAAAGAATTTCAATTTCGGCTGCTTCGAGTTAAAATATGACATTATTGTAGAACTGAAGGATCAGCGGGTGACATTGTGTTTTGCAAGAGTGGATAATCAGCCACACACTAATGTTCATGTGCAGCTCATTATGGAGCTGATAGTGATGAGTTCTGCTTAAACGCAATCCCAGAATGACCTTGTTTCAACATCTATCACTCGTTTGAAAAGCCGGCCAAGAAAAAAACCCTCTTTTGTACTTACAAAACATCTGTGGTTCCACTGCTGCCCCATAAAATGAGAACATCTTAATTTGGCCTGGCTTGAAAGGAAATATCATATTAGTTTTATTTATATCTCTGGGATTGAAGTCATCCCAGTGTCTGCTAAAATTTTTACCACTCCCCTGCACTTAACATATTTATGAGAGAATGGAATCGGGCCAAGTCTATAGCGGAGTTATCATCACAGCAAAAGCCAGCTTTAAAATGAAGGTGGATAGAGATCAGTTGGCCGTTTTTTTATACTAGCCATGTTCTCTGATCCGTGTAGAGAAGGACTGCACAGAGGTTAGAGTCGAATAATGTCTCAAAATGCGCCGTTAATAGTATTTGCCCAACTTAAAGGCATCTCATGTGGTTTTAACCACCTGTTTTTATCAAATTTTCAATACTTCTGTAATAATTGCTTTTAGATTCAGCAAGCAGTTGGTTGAGCCACAGTAGGTCAGAAAATATTACGTCTATAATGAAAACAGGCTGACAGCTTGCCATCACAGATGGAAACCTTTTTAATGAATAAAATCTGGTGCAATATATATTTAGCTTACAGAAGGGCTGGGAAATCAGAATCTCCTTATCAGTGAGGTTGACTAGAAACCAATCAGGTCTTTGTCCTATTTTAATCTGTCATTGACTGGAAAGAGATAATAACCCACAGTAAGATCTGATTGGTTTCTTTTTGGTGGGCTGCTCAGCTTTCCTTATTGATGTGGCCATTACACTATAAAATTGATTTTTTACGTATTTTGTAAATAAAAAAAAGTTTATTTTTAACGAGTATGTTTTACAAGAAAGTACTATTTCAGTTTTTCTACTTCAAACTTTAACGTGTAATTCAATGTGTTACTTGCTGTTTCTTTGTAATTATTTGTCAAATTTACCAGCAATTTCTAAATGAAAATTGTTTCAAAGTAAATCCTACACCAATTTATTTTAGTAACCCTAACCCTAACAGCGGAGGAACCTGATTGGTTCTGACAAATAGCTAATACATGACATTTTCAAATACAATTGAAGTCATTTTCTCAGCTGTTGCTAATGATATTACATTATAACATCAAAGTCATCATGAAATGCCAATTGCAACCCTTTTTCCATAAGATTTTCAATGCACAAAACAGATGTCTCGATTTAAGTGAACATTCAACTGAACTACAAAAATTGTTTAAAAATAGTGGGGGAAATGGTGTCAATTTTGATTTTATGCTGAAATAATCCTTTTCTAGAATCAGCGATTACATGGACCTGACACCTGTCGACATCGTAGGGAAGAGATGTTATCACTTCATTCACGCAGAGGACGTGGAAGGCATTCGGCAAAGCCATTTAGACCGTGAGTATCTGCTCCGAAATCCATCCAATCAATCTGTGCAGCCACCCAACAGTGCCAAAAACTAGAGGATGGTTGTTAAAGAGCAAGATTCAGTGTCCTTACATGCTTTAGCGGGACTCATTGATCATTGGTCAATGACATCCTGAGAGCACACTGTGTTACGTGCCAAAGCTGGCGTAATGTGTTCGCTGCAGCACTTCAGTGTAATGGGACAGCAGTGAGACAGGCAAGATTATCCATGCTAGCGCTTCTTCTCATAACTGTCCATGAAGAACCGCTTCCCTCTGCCAGACGGTTAGGCAAGTGCGTGTCTTCCAAACAAGCCCCGTATCGCTCGCGAGGCACAGTATCTCGGGTCGTTTGACAGTCTTACACATTTCACTCCTCTTTTCAGGTTAAGTTGCTCCTCTCAATGTACAGGCGCCACATTTCGAGCGCATTTTTATGTCATGTAGTATTCATCTGGGCCGGTCCGCCTCTGCAGAGCCCTTTGAAGGTTCCTCAACCTTTTGCACGCTCTGCTTTCATCGTGCTCGGCAGGAGGGCCGCTGACCGTCTGGAGGAACGTTCATGCTTTTTTGAATATCCTAAATCATCTGTTAAGTGTGTTTTGGCAGCACACCTTTCCCGCTCCCCTCCACCATGATGGCAGAAATTCAAAACGTCATTGAGAGCGGCGTAGCGTTTCATACAGTAAATGTGTGCGCTGCTCTACAGCAGGCAGGTTGCCATTATTTAAGTAGTGAGGGTTGAGGCACAGGAAGAGGAGGGGGATAAATCCCTCGTTTTATTAGGTGTTTGCAGAGGAGGGCGGGTGTCCTTGGGGCTGGCGAGGGAATTTGGAGCTGTCTGATTAGATATTGGGAGTTCAACTGAATTAGAGCGCAATTACCACTGTATTGCACTGTCCCTTTGCCTTAAAAAGCCACCAGATTGGGTCCATTAGACCTTGATTTGATACCCAGCGGAGGCAGAGGGGAGAGGACCGAAGCCCTGGATTGCATTGATAGCGGAGAGAGAGAAAAAGATGGTGTGAAAGGAGAGAGAGAGAGAGATAGACACAACGAGAGGACTGCACATCCCCAGCTACCCCTGGCTTTCTAACCATCTATTACGCATTAGCGTGGCGGCAATCAACATAAATCTAGCCGCACTTCAAATGGCTGGCCGTGTCGCTACAGTAGAGAGTGGATAGGGGTTCTGTTCCTGCATTTTACTTTGCACGTTCATACTCGGTCTGATAAAATGTGGTTAGCTGGTTGAAACAGTGTTTGAAAATGTTGCTGTAATCATAATTCAAAGAATTTAAACTGCAGTTAAGCGATGCTTTTTAAAAACTGTTAAACTAAAATGCAGGATACTAACAAAAAGTAGCTAATGACAATGAATCTATTCATGAGGCAGTGTACATGCACAATCATACACTAATTATGCTGAATAACCTGCCAACATGTGAGGTCATGTAAATGCATGAAACTATTTTCTTATACATGGTAAAAGTCAAACAGTTTATGCAAAATACGATGGGCACACCTATATTTTTTCAGCAGAAAAAAAAAACAAATTTCACCTTTCATGTAAACTTGTTTTTTACATTTTTGTTTTTTAGGAAAAACATATTTTGATGGTTATTAGCGTCTTTTTGTTATGCATGTAATTGCCCTCAGTGTCAATGCAAATAAATAACCATTAGATATTATTGATCATTTTTGCATGATAAGAGCTATTTTATCTAGTGCACGGATAATTAAGAACTGCATTATCTCACCAATTCACACCACACTAATAAAACTTGAAAATATATATAAATGGGTTAAATTGATTCAGTAAATCCCTTCAAATGAGAGAGCATAGTAGAAAGTGTTCAATTATTGCTAATTATTGCTTCTGTCACACTACTACTTGATACTTTTAGTTAGTTACTAAGAAATCCTAGCACAGCTAAATGCATTATAATGAAGTGAGTGTCATCTCGGCTTCTATCAAAGCCAGATCTTCAGGTGTCTGCATGAACATGACACGCGTGACTAAGGCGCAGTCAGACCGATCTCCCGCTGATTGCTAATCAGACACTGATATCAGATCACACAGGGCCATCAGATTGGTTAGAGCCTGGGTTAAGAGGGATGATGTCAGTCTGGTCAAATCTCTCTGCTGCCGATGCAGTGACGTGTGCGTGGAGTAGACGTTCCTTTGGCTTGAGTGCATGTAGTGTTCTTTATGAGTTGCGATGTATTAGGGCTGCACGATTAATCGCATGCGATATTTAACGCTCAATGTGAAAGCCCACAGGTGATGGAGATTTACCGCTGATTACAGAACCGGCTTTACTGATAAGATGCGCATTAAATATCGCATGCGATTAATCGTGCAGCCCTACGATGTATGATATATTACAGATGCGTGCTGCAGAGTTCATAGGCCACTGCTCAAGTAAAGTGTTTAAAGCAGATCTGTTTAAATTGAGCACCTTGACCTAGGGTTGCTTAAAGAGTTTTTATAAAATGGGTAGTTTCTGGACTTTAAAGTGCATGGCTGAAAAATGCTGATAGGTAGAAGAATTGTTTATTGATCATAATGTTCATTTAATTCATATCGCTTTTCCTGCCTTTTCAATAAAAACAATAAGGCATTGGTTTTTAACTACAGTAAAATCTCTATACTGCACGGTCTCTTGTGGCCTATTTCTTTAACTACTTTTTGGACATACTAAAACATGAACTGTCATTCTCATCTATTTGTTTAATGGTTTAATTTGAGCTTTGTAACTGTGAAAAACAAATAGCTCTGGTTTATCGAAGGAAAATTAGAAAGCCGACTGTTGGTGCTCATGAAGCATTTGAGAGCAGGTGTTTTATATTGGCAGAAATGCATTGTGACAGCTCTGACCTCACCTGTGTCAGCTTCCGAACAGGACCAACACGGCTTAAATTAATAAAAGACACTGTGTTACACGACTACGTATAATACTCACCGCATAAATGCTCCGCGGGTGTGTGTGTGTGCTTTTACCAGCTGAGAAAGAGAGCGAGAGGGAGACAGAGGTGGGAAACGATGGCTCACAGAAGTGTGGAGAAACCCCAGGAGACTGAAGCTCTGTGCCTGAAGGCAGACTACAAGAGCCGGTCTCTGAAGAGTAGTTCAAACTGACTTTAATGAAAAACTCCCTTCACTCCTTATTGTGCTTGAAGATAGACTCCACAGCTGTGGAAAAATACACCTGCTCTAACACCCATCGCATGTACCGTTAACAATGTTTCTTCAGGTTTCTTCCATAATGGATTCAGAGTAAATATAAAATAGATGTTTCTGTTAGTCTGTATTCATGGATTTGCTGCATTTATGTCAGCAGTGATTGTCATTTTAACATAACTAGTTTTACAACTATCTCAAGCAGTATGGATTAGCACGTGCCCATAAACAGCCAGCTTTGACCAGCTAGAAACTGGTTTTATCTGGATTTTACAACACAAAAACATCTTTAAAACCAGCAAATGATTGCATCCTTACTTGCAGTTGTTCCAAAATGCCTTGAAACTGAGATGATGCTTTGAAAACAATGATCGCAGGTGTAATTTCACTTCTCGCCGCTTCTCTAAATGGCCAAGGCGTTTACTTCCTCCGCTGGTGAAGTTTCGCCAATAGATCCAAAGAATACAAGTTAAACACCTCCAATTCACCCTGCCCGGGTGCCGCAGATCTGCATGTCTGCTCTCTCATTCATAAAAGGCTTGTCTTTACAATAATACCCCAGTGGACTGCAAGGACTTTTCCATAAAGCAATTTCACGGGTGTAAATTACTTGCTTTTATATGACAGTGACACCCTCCACCCCTCCTGCTGGAAGTGAGGCCACGCTGGGTAAAGGGTATCTGAAAGGTAGCTGCTATTATGGAAGGGATCCAAGTGATTTAACAGAACTGAAGGACAGAGGCCCTGGCGCAGAGAGAGCGAGCAAGAGCGATAGAATGAGAAAGAACTGAAGTAGAGAGGGAGAGAGACAGAGAGAGTGAGAGACCATCCTGCAGGCTTGCCCGAGGCTCCAGGAGAAGGCAGGCAGATTAAAGAGGCCGTATTCCTTTTAAAGCCTCCGAAAGCAGCCAACGAGTCCTGCAACGGAAAATAAAAAGAAAGATACAGAAAGAGAGAGAGAGTGAGAGAGAGAAAGGGGTGGCTTCATTACCACTAAATCAATAACTCAAGCAGCCCCTGATTGATTTAATGGCAGCGTAACTGAAAGGGGGTTAAAAAAGAAGCCTCACCTGTACAGACGTGGTGCCGGGCAGAGCCGAGGGGGCCAGCACATCAAATGCAATGCAGATGAGATCAGCTCATCAGGTTTAAAGGCAGAGGGGGAAAAAATGTCCTAGAACTTGTAGACAGTAATCAGGGTTTAAAGGGACCGCTCGGACTCGCATGTTCACAGACGGAGGGGAAGAATCGCTCTGTATGTTTGACAAGATTTAATATACTGGAGCTGTACAATACTTTGATTCAGTTTCAATTTAATGTGCTTTATTGGCACAACAAACAGCTCTACATTTTGTATTGCCAAAGTATTTGCAACTTAGCGGTGTACAATGAAAATGGTGCAGGATATCTATTTATCTGTCTGCCACTGTGAGATTTTAAAGCATTTCAAAAGAAGATGTTAATGAAGTTGTTTTTATGGAATATTTTCCATAGCAGTTCTTTCTTTTGTCTTCAGTTCTGACATTTCAGATGTGAAGTATGTTTTTGTCCAGCACTTTTGCTTACATTCCATGTATACTGAACCATAGACTCTCAGTAGCATGTAAACTTTGTTGAAGAGAGTGAAGGTGAGTCAAGGGTATGCCCACTGGCCACAGCGAACAAGTCAGATAAACAACTCTTGGCTTTTTGTCTCAATTTACTGGAGTTAGAGCTTAGTTTTACATTTATTGGTACAGAAAGCAGTCGGTGAACTAAAGTCAATTATCGGAGTCTTTGGAACAGCTTCTTAAACAATGCTATTAGTCTGTAATGATTTTAATTACTAGACTTATTCTTATATAAATCATCCTTCTCAATTGACTCTTTTTATGGAAAGGGCCATTTGTAGCTGTAATTAAACCCAGAATCTGAATTTACTACCGTGCTTGGGTTCCGACTTTTTCTGTTTTGCAGAACATTGATTAATGCAAATTCATATTATTTGAGATCGCCATTTAGCACTTAATTTAGCCAAAATTATGGCAACTGCCACAGTGTCTTCACATGAGTAGCCTTAGACGAGGACACAATTACAGCCTTTAGCAAACAGTCACAGCGCCCTCTGCTGGGCCTTTAAGATTAATAATGTTCAAGATGGTAATGTAGTATCTTTCAAATGAAATAATGGATAGGTTTGTGCTTTACCTGGTCACACGGAAGGCAAATATCATGATTAATATTATTTGCTGTTGTTGTAATTAAACCTGAGTGTATGTAAAATTTTAATATATCACATTGTTCACTATATCTCCTTTTTCCTCTTCTTTTTTTCTCTTCCACCTCCTTTCCTTTCTGGTATACTATCCTCTTTCTATTCCATAGTGATGAATAAAGGTCAGTGTGTGACAAAGTATTACCGCTGGATTCAGAAAAATGGAGGTTATATCTGGATCCAGTCCAGCGCCACTATTGCAATCAACGCCAAGAACGGCAACGAGAAAAACATCATCTGGGTCAACTATGTACTCAGGTATACGAGTCTTCTACTGTGATGAAAATGCCATATCTTTAGATTTTGATTTGTTCCGTCTGGCACTGTAACAAGATGAAAGTGTTTTCTTACTTGAGAGAGTTAGTAATAGTCTGTTCTTCTGTAAGATGACGAAGGCCAAACACTCAAACTGCAGTGTGATTTCTTACTGCTTTTGGGTCTGTGTACGAGCTTAGAGAGCCTCTTTTTTGTGGTTTCTTTTCTAATGGGCAGTAATCCAGAGTACAAAGACACACCCATGGATATCGCACAGCTGCCTAACCTGCCAGAGAAAGCATCAGAGTCCTCAGAAACATCTGATTCTGAATCCGACTCCAAGGAGAACTCTGGTATAGTATCACTCCTCGTCCCACTTCATTGCAGTATGCCACAGAACATTACAGAATAAGTGGAAGGTCGTTGGTTTGAACACCACAAAGCCTCGCCACAAGCTGTCCCTTGAGCAGGACACTTAAAGCCAGTTCTTCTTGCGCCGAGATTGTTATCCCTGTTCATGAAACCATTTCTGGTGACATTAGATTCTACATCTTAGATTCTTTACAAACTAGTAGTATAGTAAAGTAACACTATACACAACACACTTGAAAGTTTTCTTTTAACCAAATGCAAATGTCTCATCTGAGGGCTCTTGCTGTGTAAAATATCTTCATTTCAATAATTACTGGAAATTATGTAGGACAAGGAAATTTGGTGCTTTCGATATGTCCCTAAAACTGGTGTAAATAGTAAATTAAAACTCCACAGCCAGTTGGAGATATTAATTATACATTCCAAAAGAAGATGAAGTGAGATTCCAGAGATGGTGGAGGCTGTGAGTGAACAAGGCCGGTTGACAGTCTGGGGAAAGTGCCAACATATTGGCCCCTGGGCATCTCTGCCTGCCGAGCCTTTTGCCAGCCTTCATCACAAAGGTTACAGACTGTGCCAGCTGCAGCTGGACCAAACCATGCCCTCTTCTCCTCTCACACTCCCTACCTATCTCTACACCCCGCCTTCTCCTTCTGTCTTTCTGTCTCTTTATCTCTTTCTCTCTCTCCGTGTTTCTCTTCCAATGCAGACATGTTTTTCCTAAGGCCAGAATTTCCAAATCCCTGTGAGATGTATGCCTCACTGTTCTGTTTTTCCCCCTCACTTCTAAATTCATGCACTTTAAAAATAAATAATTTTAATGTATTAATGATTTCTGATACATAGTTTGAGCTCACCTTGAGCTACCAAAGTCACTTGTTCTGAACAGAATTTGAGTCGACCATGACAAAACTAATTATTAATGACACATAACGTCACAAATAAGTCACCAGTGGCTAATGCTGTTGCCAAAAATAGAACATCAAAGAGCAATTTATGTCCTTAGTGTAATTGTGTCCTGTACTTAAGAAGCATTATATCCAACTGGAGCTCTTCCAAACTTTAAATGAATACCCTTCACATAAAACCCCTGATAATGTTTAGTGAACTATGTTTCTTCTGTGAGAAACCTTACTTTGTCTAATAAACTATGACGTGTATGGAAACCTGTCCTCTAAAACGTTTTCTTTCTCCCAGAAGACAACGAAAACTCCAAGTCAGATGGGAAGGGCAATCAGTCTTCCGAGAACAGTGAAGATCCAGAGTCAGACAGTAAGAAACAGACGGGCCGGCCACCAGAGCAAGAGATGAGACGACAGGAGGAAGGAGACAGTTCCAGCAATCCAGAAAGTCAGGACAGTGATGATAGTCTGGAACCTTCTGACTGTGAAACTGACCACAAGGAGTGCCGCCTGGGTGGTTTACATATAAAGGTGGAGCGCTATGGTGACGGTGAGGTGGAGGAACTGCAGGACTCGCCCTCCTCTTGCTCCTCCTCAGAAGAAGAGGATGAGGTGGAAGATATTGTAAAGGACTGCAACAGTGGAGGAGAGCTGAGCGGGCCAGCAATGAGTAAACACCAGAAGAGAAAGAAGAGGAGAAAAAAGCAGAAATGGGATGGTAGTCGGCAACGTCTCTGTCTGTCTCCCTCAGCGACTACTACCCCCAGCCCTGGCAGCCTGGACCCCACCCTTGGAGACCAGCCTCCCCTCCTGCTTCCACCCTCCCCAACCAGTTCCTCTGTGCTGAAGATCAAGACTGAGATGTCAGAAACTATAAACTTCGACAACGACAGCAGCATCTGGAACTACCCACCCAACCGAGAGATCTCCCGCAACGAGTCCCCCTACAGTATGACAAAACCCCACGACACCTTCCCTTCTCCCCCGCCTGCCGGCCTGCAGGTGTCCATCCCGGACTCTGTCCTCACTCCACCTGGTGCCGAGGGTGGAGGAGGCAGCAGAAAGCCCAACTTCAGTGGCAACAGTAGCAGCGGCTACAGTGCCCCCACCTCTGTGTCCAGTGCAACTCCGGGCAGCTTGGTTCCTCATTCCAGTTCCACCATCGCTGACCCGCTCTCCCCACCTCTCTCGGCCTCACCACGGGACAAGCAGCAGGGTACACCCACCTCCTCCGGTTCCCTGCTCTACACCAGTGACCTGGAAGCCCTGCAGAGGTTACAAGCGGGGAACGTGGTACTTCCATTGGTGCACAGAGTCACAGGCACGCTTGCTGCCACAAGCACTGCTTCCCCACGAGTCTACACCACTGGAACGATCCGATATGCCCCGGCAGACGTCAGCCTGGCCATGCAGGGCAACCTCCTGCCTAATGCCCACACCGCTGTGAACTTTGTGGATGGGCCCGGCTTTGGCATAGACCCCAAGACGCCCATGGAGATGCTGTACCATCACGTGCACCGACTCAACATGTCCACCCCCTTTGGGGGTGCGGTCAGCGGAGCCGGCCTCACGCAGATGCCAGCTGCTAATGTCTTCACCACAGCAGAGGGACTTTTCTCCACGCTTCCGTTTCCCGTCTACAGCAATGGCATCCACAACACACAGACTCTGGAGCGCAAGGAGGATTGAGGCAAAACATCGAGACCATATTACTGTGTTAAAAAGACTCTTCTGAGGCAAAAGACTGTGTATCAAAGTTGGGGAAAAGTGAGATGTTCTAGCACTTTGAATTTTGAGCAATTGAGCTTGTGTAACTGAAATGAATGGTTTCTCTTCCTGTGTCTTTCTATTTTTTCGACTTTCTTCTTTCTCGCCTCCTTACACAAGTTCTTGATGACGGTTTCTCTAAACAGACTCATCTCTATTGTAAAGAGTTCCTTTTGAGCCACAGGGAATTCATAGCACTGTAGCGTATGTTTTCTCTGTGGTGAGATATTTGTCCAGAGTATGTAACATCCTCATTAGGATGTCTTAAAGGTATTAGAAAAAGAAAATCGACAAGAAAGGAGATTGTTCATGTTTCTAAAGGTATCTTGATGTAATTGAGATTGATGCTGACAAAAGGATGTTACCCTGTTTGATGTAGTTCAAAGGGTTTTATGGTTCTTTCTAAAGGGGGAATAATATTTTAAAAATAATGCTTTTTCTTCGTTTTTTATAGCTCAACATAACTTGCAAATCATGCATTTTAAAAAAGCAATTTTAGCCGGGTATTGACCTGTGAATAGAATGTTACTATAAAATCCCAGGACATGGAACAGGTCAGTGTGAGATTTTTCCAGTTCCATCTTCTGTTTGCAGATCCATGGTGCTATCCCTCACTCAGCTGGCTGATGTAGGTACTGTTCCGGAACTCCAGACAAACGGCGGCTTCAGAGCTTTTCCACAGAAAAGTCAAACCTTCAACAAACGTTTTGTTCTTTTTTTTTTTCTTTTATGTTCATCACTTACCCATGAGCACGGGAGAGTATTTTAACTCAATCAGATTGAGGTTGGAAAGGGATACAGAAAAGTTTGTTTTTTAATTATTTTTTATCTCTCTCTGAGACTAATTTTGCATCATAAACTTGAAGATGAATGTTAAACTCCAACAGGCTTTGGTCAAAGCTGTTCTTAATTGTTTTGGGGATTTTTTTATATAATTTTTGGCTTAATTGTTTACACTCCCTCTTTAGCTTAAAGCCTGGTGTCCTTTCCTAAATCAGCTCCCCTTCATCCCTTACCCCTTAACTGTCTCTGCAAATCACATATCAAATGGAGATTGTAATAAGGACATGCATTTTCAATCAAAAAAATGTGTTTTGAAAATCCACATTCCTAATTTTTATCCACTGTTGCCAAAAAAAACTTTACTCTCACAGTATGGTGTTAAAACACTGTGATTTGATGTTTAAAAAAAAAACTAAAGTAATAAAACGGAAGAAAACTGTCACTTCATCCTTTGGCAGCCGTCCATCATCTATTACGCAGCGTGATAACCGTAAACTTGTACAATGTGTAAGTGTCATTGGCTGTCAGTCTCCATAGCAACTTAAGTGTGTGTTACTATATGCAGTATATACTGAGCTAATGTAGCTGTTTTGTCCTTTGTCCTCTCTGTGCTAGTCCGGGCTCGGACGGGGAAACATTGGTTCTCCTTCCAGCCCCCTTGCAGTCTTAGTGAACCAGTGGAGGTTAGTGGATTTTGTGTGGTGGCCTTCCAATGTAGTGTCACCTTTTTTAGCTGCTTCCTTTTTGTATGTATTACTTTTTTCTGTTTCTGCTATTGCTTTGCTGTTGTGTAGTCTACAGACCTCTCTCTCTTCTCAGAGATAAAAGACTCTAAACTAGCTCAAAGGTTTAAGGAGCCATTTTTTTTGCCACTGAGGAATTCTGGGATTGCAGTTTCCAGCTCAAACGTGATGAGGAATAAAAAAAAAAACTGAAGTAGCATTTAGCAGACTGGAACCTTAAAAGCCTAAGATGTGAAACATTCCCAGAGTCCCTTGTGCTTCTCTTGTGCATTGGGTGTATTTCATTGGTTTCCACCAAACCTGTTGACATCAAGAACCCTGCAACTCACAGGAAATAATAAAAAAAAGATGACGGTAGTATTTCAGGACAATAAACAATTTTAAAGATTTCTAAAGAGATTAAAAAAATATTTCGCACTATAAAATCTATTTTTATAGGTGTTTTGGAAATGCATGTTTACTAAGTTGATTGTTTGGTTTACTTGATTTTGTTCGGTCCAGCGGCTTTGTCAATGTATAGTGTTTTTCAGTCTGTCCAGCAAAGGGAATGGGGGGGCCTTCGTCTTTTTACCTGAATCAGGCTTCCCCCGACATCAGGAAACTTGTGTCTGTGGTTTCTGTGAAGACGTGTTGTTACTCAAACCCAGGTCATGATGTTAATGTTTTTAAAAATGACAATAACGGGACTCGCTGTCGGAACGGTTGCAGGAGAGCTTGGCGTCACCGCTGCAGGTTAACTGGATCCTAGATTTTAGCATTTTGTACGTAGAGCAGAAGCGGTTGGGCCAGGGCTTGGGGGCAGCTCCGAAAACAGACACTGTGGACCAGGAAATACACCCATATGTTACTAACAGAACAGCCGGGCGAGCTGTCTCAATGTATCTGTGTTGTGTCAAAATGATTGCTGGTGATTTAATCTTAAACTAATCTCAGCTGCTGTCAGATAAATAGTGTTTAAAATTACAATATGAGAAATCACTTCATTACCTGTGAAGACTGTGTCTGTGTTTTTAACTATTTCTTGTACAATTATACAGATTCTTTTATGAGGAACTTGGTGCCAAGTAGAAGAATATGGGAGAAAGGGGATTCTCTTAGTATCAGTGTTAACAGTGTTATAAATTCTAAGTACAAACAAATTAAAATATTAAAAAGAGAAAACTATGGTACATTTTTGATTTTGTTTTTTGTTTTCAGAGGAAAAAAAGACAAAAAAACAACTAACTGAAGCTAACTTTGAGTGCCTGGCTTATTTTTTTTGAAACACATTTTTTGTTCATTTACCATGAATAATGCTGCAATTCAAAAATGTACATACTTCATTTTACAACAGGGTTATTTTATACTTTTGTAGGTTTTCATCAGTTAAAGCGACATGTCATACATGGTTGTCTTTCTGTAACACAGTTTTTTTACCATCTTACAGGTGCCATATTCATAATAAACTTTTCTTGGATTTGTTACTATCTGGCATCATTTCTTTTACATTTTGTTCATCATAAATGAATGCCGAACATCAGTGATTATTCTTTGCGTTCCAACTTTCCTGCTTCTTTATATTTGTTCTTTCCCTCCTATGTTTTTCTCCCGGTCTTTAGTCTTGGTTATTGTAGCCTTTTTTAGTTACTTACAGGTTTCAGGTAAGGGAATATCAAAATATTCCCATGTAGCCCTGCTGACTTTTGCTTCCACATACAATGAATGGCAATCCAGTGCACTTGTACCAGGGCCTTTGTTTTGACAGTGAATCTCCTTTACGTTGGACAGAATCTCATGGGTATTTCTGACATGTTTTTTTCCACCTCATGGTATCCTCACCAGGTTTTCAATTAGCAGGACTATTTCAATCTGTGTCTTCTATTATACTGATCTCACTGTAACTTCCTACGGCAAAGCTAAATAAAAGGGGAAAAATGCTTCCTTTTAAAAGTGTTTTACTTTAGATCTTTTTCGACAATGTTAGGTCTTGCTCTGTGAAAACAGACCATTTTTATTGCTCAGAGGATATTCAAGAAGAAGAATGTTTGGAGTGAAGGAATTTGACTGAATTGCAATGTACTAGAATTTACCTCCCATTTACAGTGTGTTGAATCAACTGAAAGTAACTATTTTAACTTATTACTTGATCAGAGAACTAGTTAAGACAGATTTACAAACAAGTGGACTGTTTAATTTCAAAGATAATGACTGGATGCCAGTCACATGCAACTTAATGAGGTCATGTGACAGCACAGCACTAATGTTTCAAACATTTACAGTGGAATAACACAGTTTAATACAGAGAATTGTAGACAGTATATAGTGTATACCATGCAGTGTTCAGTATCGTAAGCTAGTATTCCACTCCGAACACAGCTTTCGTTCAATTCTAAGTAACTGTCTGTCTCCCTTGCACCTTTCCTCTTTGCCCTGTTTTTCTCTCTTGTTCTCTCCCTTCTCCCTGCTTCATAGCTTTCTCCACTGACTTCAGGCACTGAAGGGGAGGTCACCGCTGAAGCCCACTGAAGAAATCCAACCAACTTTAAATATTTTACGCAATTTTAAATGAAGCCCATGAAAGATAGATCACAGGAGAGAGATAGAGAAAGAGAGAGGAGGAGGAGGAGGAAGAAGAGGTGAAAAAGCCCAAACCTGAATCCTCCCTAATGATTAGGAGCTGTCCATCTCACCTATACAGTCCTTATTGGAAATCAGAGTGTGTTTATATAGCAAAGAGCCTCTCATTAGGGCAGCTACAGGTACATAGAACCTTCAACGCGTATGATCAGAGGCAGACATGTTTTATATACGTATAGAAAAACGACAGGCACGAATAGGATAGATAGACAGGTTGACAAAAGACAGAGTGGCACAGGTTTTCGTATAAGACTACTATTTGAGATATTAGATATAAGCCTACTTGATTTATGTTTTTGAGGAAGAGTTGTATTTTTAATTCGGTGAGTGAGATTAGAACCGCAGCAGCTTTTCAGTTGTGAAATCCAGTGTGGCAAGAGTGACATCTAGTGGTTACAGTCGGTAATTACGTCTTTAGAACTCTTGTTTCAACAGGGATCTTCTGTACTTCAGAAGATGAAGAGCTGAGACCAGTGTTGCCAGATTGGGCGGGTTCGAATTTGATTGTGAGAGTAAAAAATGGCTTGGGCGGGTGGACAAAATTTGGGCTGGTTTGGAGTCAGTTTGGCGGTTTGGAACATATAAATTGCATAGGTTAATTGTTTAACAAACAAGCCTAGGTATGCATTTACTGCATCCAATCAGTCATCACAACGTTACTACACACACACACAGCAGAGGCGCTGGTGCTGATGTAAACGTCGACAGCCGCACTTATCACGAGGGCTCAGCAGACAGACGTTATGATTCATGAGTGACACGTTTTTAGCGTGATAAGTTATAACGTATCTGATTTTGAATGTAGTATGACTGTATATTCAAGTAGGCCTAATATAAGTTAAAGAGTGGGAGAGTGACTCAAGTCTCAAAACGTGAATTATTGTGGAGTGAGATGACACAAAGGCTGTATCACTGCAACTCCGAAATCAGAGCACATTTGAATTAATTAATCAAAACCGAAACTAAATATGTCGGTTTATACGATCCTGTCTTTTATCTTTTAAACGGTCCAGATTGATAAATCCTTGAAAACTGCTAGACTTGATTAGTTTTGACAGTGCAAAGTTCTGTATTATGTTCTACAATATCAACTTAACAAGAGGCTTCCTCTAGTTCTGTGTAAAATTACAGAGCGACACGAAGGTAAGCGCATTGTTGTTGTTGTTATTTTTTTAACAGTGTTAAAAACTGAGACCTCTTGTGAAATGCAAGTGTGGCAGGATAATGTTCACTTTACTGCCCTTACGAAAATTAACCATGGTTTTATTGTAGTAAACGTGTAGTAACCATGTTTTTTTTTTTTTGTCGTATTGATTACCATTTGTAGAACCACAGTTTACTACAAATACCATGGTTAAACTATGGTTAGTGTAGCAACTACAGTAACTTTTTTTTTTTTTGCAGTAAAACCATGGTTAACTTTCGTAAGGGTAAATACATTTCATATTTTATATTACTTTATCTATATATATATACTGTATAGTTACGCACCCTAGTGAGGATTTCACTATTTTACATGCGGTTTTGTACTAGGAAATCCAGCTGTTAGTTTATAAATGTGTTTGGCGTACTGGTTTTATAAAGATAACTGTTTATTTTATTTTATATAAATCACGTTTGCAATGATCTAACCATTGTTAATGAGGTGCATTAGTTTCCTATGGTAATTACGCGACGGTTAAAAGAAGTTACTACGTTACACCAGGACTACGGTGGAAATATGAACTATTATTGCTCCTACCTTCTCGTAGTGAGATGGTCCTTCATGTTTCCTCCCAGTTTACAGTAATAGAGGACAGTTTTACGTAAAGGGTTGTCGCTAAATCACTTTTGTGAGTGATGTTTTGCTAATTAACCGTCTTTCGGCGCCAATTGTGAAAAAGGCGGAGCTTTACACGTACGTCACCGTCTATGCGCGAGATAAAGGTAGCCGTTAAGGATAGAAAAACTATAACATTCATATATAAAAAGAAATAATTGTATTAAGTTATTTTTATCTGTATGCGTTTACGTGATAAATAAAAACGGGATAAAATGGCTTGTAAATATCTTCCTAGCATCTGCGCTAAATAAAACAGCACAATGAGGACACAGCGACACCTAGTGGTAAATTATGGCCAAAGGAAAAAAACTTTATTAATGAAACAAAACGATAAAATAAACAATAGACCATTTAAAACATTTCAACATATTGTTTAATTTGGCCATTTCAAATAGTTGTAAATCAATTTGTGTACAGTAGCCAACATGAACTAACCTGTTCACACATTTTTACATTTTTTTCCAGAACAACTTTTGTAAAAGAAACATTTTATAAAGCTCAAAACCTTATGAAACAACTGTCAAATAATATTGATCCGAGGGTGTGGTTGAGCAGCATTGCTGACCTGCATGCAAGCTGATTCAATTCTCTCATTAAACACTAACACACACTGGGACTGAACAAATAAAGCAAAATCACCTGACCAAGTGCTTTTTCAAAGTTTGTGAACACAGTACAGAATGACTTTTATAAACAGCTCCATTTGAAAGAGTCTCATTCAACATCACACTGTCGTTCAAAAATAATAAAGCATCTATATATACACAACTTCCAAGTCCACTGACAAGTTTCAAATTTCCTTTCTACTGAAGTGTTCAAAAATTGCGCAAATAACATTAAAATATGTGCCAAAACAGCAAATAACAGCATGTAACAAAAAGGGACAATCATTAAAAGAACATATTTATAATGCTTGGTGACATATTTCTGAAACAATAACTAGTGTTATATATATCTCTCTCTCTAATCTATTCCTTATTATTTTATTTTTATACATCTAGACAATATAGCGCTGAAAAGTTTTTTATAAAGAAGAATTTAATTACAATAAACATCTAATAAGGCATTAATCAGATTCTCACATTTTTCACAGAATTGTCTTTACGTTAGCAGCGGGTTATTCATAGGACTCTTCACTTATTTTAAGGACCCAGATTCAAACGTAGTAAATCACAAATACAAAGTGGGGGGAGAGGTACCTTTAGTGCAAAAAGCCATGTAAAAATAGAAAAAAAAAGCAAAGAAATAAGACAGTAGACAAAAGAAATCGTCTCGTACAGGCCAGTGTATTTCTGTTAAGATGATGAACCTTCCTGTGAGTTGGCTGAAATATAAAGGTTTAAACAATTAGATATTTAAAATCGAACTTCAAAAAAAATACACTGATACTGATGATTTTGGCTGAACCAACCTGTCAGATCTCTGAATTTTCTTTTTGCTTCAGCTCTTTCCTCTGAATCAAAGTACCACACAGTGATTGCATACCTGTGACACAAAACAGACACCTTAGCATGATGCCAGGAAATCATATTGACATATACGTCTGTAACATGAACGCCAATACTACTAACCTTGTAGCATACGACGGTTGAACTTCATGAGGGTTTCTACGATCTGACCAGAAAAGCAGAAGTCGATCAAACAAAGGCTCGATGTCGGCTACGTAAGATTTTCCTTCAGGAAAGATCCTTAGCAATCCGCCATGCTCCTAAAAACATACAGTGACATTTGATTAATTAACACTGTTCAATAAATATTTTGGAAATGACATTTGAAACAAACTAGAGAAAAGTCTACCTTTGCATTCCAGTTTTTATTCAGATAGTAAATACAGGTGACGCAGCGGCCATCTGCATTAGGGTTATCTACATGTTTCACATATCCTGCTCCATTTCCTGGATAACAAGCCACCATCGCCTGAAAAAGAAGACACGTGAAACTAAGCTTGATAGGTATTTTACATTACAAATTATCCCAGAAAACCCTGTTTCCAGGTAAACATGCTAATGATTAATTGTCATTTAAAATTGTCCAAGTCTTGCTACAAATTATTGACAAGAAATTTTTAAAGGCATTTCTCCCCTTGAACAAGCAACAAGAATTAAGTTTGTAAAGTTCACAAAAGTTACAAAAAAAGTGTTCTACCAGACTATACAACAACATATGGTGCTTAAAAGTGTCATTTTTTAAATGTTATGACAAATTTAATTTTCTATATGGACATTCTGCTCACATATGCATCTTTGCCTGCTTTACTATCATAAAATTACTGACTACTGCCAAAACATTTTACACAGAACAAAAGAAGTTTCTTAAAGTTTAGATGTTTATGTCTAAATATAAATCAGTTGTAAACAAAACAATATATCTTGTACACATAATATATGAAAAAACTGATTTGGGATTTGGTTATGAACATCTAAACCTAAAAAAAGGAAGGTTCATATTAAAAGAAAAACAAACTGGATTAATCCGTTTTTTCATCATCTGAACATTATCCACATTTGTTTGACTACAAGAGTATTTCAAAAATGAACTTAAATGGTAAATTATCAAAAGCTGATGCATTAATATATTTATAACATATATATTAAAAAAATAGTTCACTGGAGGAAGTATGGATTGTGGATTTGTATTTTGGCCACAAGTGACCGTTTAAATGTAAAACGCCGTAAAGATGGATTTGTTTCTTACAAACACACAGCTTTTCACTTAACAAGACATTAATTGATCATGTGGATTATTGTGATGTTTTTTTCAGCTGTTTGGACTCTCATTCTGACGGCACCCATTCACTGCAGTGAATCCATTGATGAGGAAGTAATGTAATGCTTAATGTCTCCAAACCAGATGAAGAAACAAACTCATCTACATCTCGGATAGCCTGAGGGTGAGCAAGTTTTCATTTTTGGGTCAACTACTCCTTTAAGGTAAAGCATCAGCTCCAACTTGGAATGCATATTAATGCAAACTGTCTAATTTACTATTACAAAAATACTATTATAATGTTCAAAACAAAGCATTTGATTTCTCCTCTCAGCAGTTCCCGGTTAACCCCTCCCAACCCTCGCATATACACACACAGTCACTAGTGCCCATGTTTACATTTCTGCAGACAAGTCTTTATCATGATCACGGTCCTACAATAAGAGTGCATACGCAAGTTTGCCGTCATAGCGCAATGTAAACATGTAGCTAGCTGCACAGAGAGCAGGAGGAAGTGTGTGCGTGTGCGAGTGTGTGTGTGTGTGTGTGTACATGTGTGGCTAAAGAGAGCAAGCTTGGCCGGCAGCCAGTGCGCTGAGGATTTAATGACAGTGCTACGTGTTGAGCGTGAGTCTACAGCACCACACAGACTTCAGCTGCTAGTGTACACAATCCAAAACTCTGATTCAGCACACTTAACCATTTACGCCCATATGCGCAGTCAATACGAAACCATTTCAAAACACTGAGTTATAAAATGTTAATAATCTTTATCTGCTTACTAAAGAAGAATAATTACACTAAAACAATTAAGTTATTGAGTCCTGTTAAATGCATTTTATTCGGAAGTGCTTTTTCTCATTATTTTTACCGTCAAGGATGTCATTATGTTATTAGGGATTATATTAGGTTTTGGAACAGATAACAGACAAAAAGTGTTTTAGGGCAGCAAAGAATGTTTGATCTAATTTTAGGATTGGCTGTGTGAATCCCTGAAAATTTTTATAAAACAACTCAAAACTCATCTCTTTCGGGAAAACTTAACTGCAAAACTTAACCTGCTGACTTATTAAAAAGCAACACAAAAAAAGCACTTATGTTTCTATTCTTTCACTCTTTCTCTTATTTTTAACTTTGTCTTGCCAGCACTGCTTGTATTATTTCCTCTTTATGATAAATTGCTTGTATTCCTCATTTGTAAGCCACTTTGGATAAACGTGACTGTTAATAATATATGTGTAAATGATCAATTTAACACTTTCATTCAGCAGACTATAAAATAAGGGAAAAGCGAGTCAAAGAAAAAGAGAAAATAGCCAGTTTCTTTCAGAAGGACACTTTAAAGTAAGTAAAACTCTTGTGTTCGCAGCTGACTTTGGTAAAAGTGGTTCTAAAACATCCTGTTGCTTCACTCAGGGCCTCCTGTAACCCGGAGTACAGCAGCACAGTGAGAGGAGTCACGTACTGTTCACAACAGCAGAAACTGAAAGCCTATCTCTGCCATTCATCATCAGGCACAGTAAAGACAGTGTGTGCCAAAGCACTCTACTGTACCTTCTCTAAACAAAGAGCCAAACAAAGACAGACACTATTGCTTAATGGAGTGAGAACCTGTATTCACCCAGATGAACAAACTACTCTGAAAAAATTAAAAACGCATAAATAATCAGCAAGTTGTTATGTAATGTTCATCATGTATACACTATCATTTCAAAACTTTGAAGAATTTTTTTTTTTTTTAAATAACTTTCTAATTTTATTTAGCAAGGATGCTCTAAATTGATTTAAAGTGACAGTGAAGACATTTTTTAATGTTACGCTTATGTTAAAATACAAGTCATTTTAATACTATTATTATTTATTCAATTTAGTAAAAAGTCATTAGCAAAGAAATGCTTGGTAGTTCTCATAGCCTATATTTTCATAAGTAAAAGACTATTTGTTTATGAATACTAATCAAAGTTTAACGACAATTTTGTACATTCACTAACTTTTCAGGAAAGTTAGTATAAAGGCTTACCAGTGAGTAGGCTATTAAATTCATACACGTATAAAATGTTAATAAACATGAAAACACATTAGGCTAAGTTAAATGTTCTAGTCAGATTTTCCATTATTTAACAATGTTATTAAGAAAATGACTCCCAATCATTAGTTCTGTCAGGACCACTATCGTCAAAGATGATTGACAATTAGCATACAGTTTGGATTGGCGGTATGGTTCTGTTCTGGGCAAGAACTCCCTGCGCATCCATGCAGCCTAGCATGGATGAGAGCAGGCAGAGCAGCGATAACCCCCCAGGAAACAGAACAGAACTAACATAAATGTATTGCAGATATTGTTAAAGTTCAATCGTTTTATGTACACATTTTAGAATTAGTCTGATTCAAGGAGAATCAGAAGGCTGAATCCCGACTAACAGAGGAGGAGCTGGGGATGGAGGAGGGTAATCAGCTATTGAGCAATGCGAAAACTGCTGATAATACTGAGGGACCTTATATATGAATGCTTAGATAGGTGTCATATTCCTATAGGTAGATGGGGATCAGCTGAGAGTCAGCTGATGCGAGCTTGACTAAGGTGACCTGTTGCTACGCTTGAGTTTTGAAACTTTTGAAAGTGTGTTGGGGGGGGTGTGAAACTGCACGAAGCCTATGTTTTCAGCATTAATGCCTTGATGACGTACAGTTATTTAGAAATGCCACAAATTAACAGCGACAATGTGAATCAAAGTTTCAAAACACTTGTAACTGAAAATACATTTATGATCTGATAAGAATCGTAGTTAGTGTTATTAATTATATTAGGCTATATAAAAAGTTTAACCAATAATTCAAATACAAACAACTGAAACATTCTTAGTTTTTAAGCACTTTGAGCTGCACTAAAGCTTACCTTTGACCTTGCGCGGATACTTTTGCCCAGTTGACCCACACACAGAGAAATTAGTTTGTCTATGAGTGTTAATAAGAAATTGACCGCCTCGGTGCCCCTCTCGGTCCCGTTAACCCATGTGATTTGATCTCCTCTGATGCTTCTGCAAACTCCATTGCTTCTTCTGGCCAGCTGCCCGTCGTTGAGAAGCCCACAGGAATGCATGCGCTTGACCTGACCCAGAACCATGTGGCCCGCGATGTCCCCCAGAAAGTGGTCCACGTAAAAGAAGCCTCGGTCCAACAGAGCCGGAACCACTTGCCCCAAAGCCAAACTCTCCAACTGCGAGTCCAGTGCGTGCTGAAGAAATGGCATTTTGTCTTGAGCTCGTTGCATTCAAATTAACGAAAGTTTTTCAAAGTGATAGCCTGTCTAATGCTACGGGTTCGGATAGAGAATGGCACGTGCAGCAGCAGACCGGGGCTGTAACTCAGGTGGGCTTTATAATCGCTCTGTGTGAGGGTCCATGAGAGCACCGGCGGCGCATGTGGAACGTGCAGAATGTGTGTCGCGCTGCAGTGGGCGGATATTCACACGAAAACCCCATTCAGTGCGTTTGAGTTCAACATCTGAGGGCTGGACAATGCATGTTCCCTGCGACTCGAATTTCATCTTCCTTTAGGGGGCGACTGGCGGCTCAGAAAGCCGAATCCTCCATTCAGTCGCGTTCAAATCTCAGGGTATTTTTGGTCTTGCTAGAGACACTTTTTATACTTTAAAGTATATTATTTTGAAAATTATAATTTCTCAGATTGGAAGCTTACATGCAAATGGCAATTGCCCTCTGAAATTACTATAAAAATCACGAAATCATCATTTAATCATCACAAACGACCATGACCATGACAAAAAATTGTTCTTCCTTAAAAAGATCTTTTCATCTAAAAAAAATATATATTTATAATCACTTATATCATTATACATTTAATAAATAACTTAAATAAATTTAATAAACAAATCATGTAATAAACATTATAATATATAATAAAATAATCTATATATATTTTCATGTTCCATGTTTTTTTATATACTTTATACTTTACATTTTAATGGGAATTTGTAAATTTATGACCAGTTACTTAACAGTAGATTTTGCCCTAAATAAATAATGGCAATATACTCAAACAGTATTTCTATTAACATTTTAATACTATGTTGTTTCTGTATTTCACAGTTGTCTCATCACAGGACAATTTCCACATAACATGAACAGATGATCTGATGTTTAATTCATGCACAGAATTCAAAGACACCTGCCTTTAATGTTTAAGTGATCCTGAAGACCCTAATTAGTTGCTTCAGGTGTGTTTGACTAGGGTTGGAGCTGAACTTTGCAGGACAGTCGATCGCCAGGAGCAGGGTTGGCCACCCCTGCTTTACATAATATGAATAGTGGCACTGAGATACTTTAGCCATTGAAATACATGGTAAGGTGTAAAAATTACGCATTCTTTGATGCTAAACCAATAAGGGTAAAGTGACAGCCCTCATTATTATAATGAAGATGCATGAATAAATGTTTGCTCTGTGATGCCTCAATTCGGCGTGGCATGGAGGTGATCAGTTCGTGGCACTGCTGAGGTGTGAGCAATTATGAACAGCGCTGAGAAAAAGAACGGGTGTCACGTGATATCGCCGACTACGTGCTACTTCAGCACTCAGCAGTGGTCTGAAAAATCCTTTACATCAGGGGTGGCCAACCCTGCTCCTGGCGATCGACTGTCCTGCAAAGTTTAGCTCCAACTCTAATCAAAGACACCTGCCTTTAATGTTTAAGTGATCCTGAAGACCCTAATTAGTTGCTTCAGGTGTGTTTGATTAGGGTTGGAGCTGAACTTTGCAGGACAGTCGATCGCCAGGAGCAGGGTTGGGCACC